GACCAACTGTTAACTATTGGCCGGCAACTGTTAGAGTCTTCTAGCAGGTCCCAGCCAATGATTAACAACTGGGCGGAGCTGGCCGTGACATCACGGCCAGCTCCACCCAGTTTTTATTGTCATTACAACTGGACACAGCCAGCCGTGAGATCACAGCTGCCTCCGCCCGGCTGTCATTTGCGGGGCGAAAGGCCGGCCTTCGGCAGACCGTTCACCCCTCCTCAGCTGTCACTTCGGCATTTGCCTTCGGTTTGGCTGAGCCTCTTGGCCGCCTTCGGCTGCTAAACGGGCTATAGTGAATAGCCCGTACTGCAGCCCTTGGTGTTCGACTGATCCAAAGGGCTCCCGCAACCGAAGCGAGCTGAAGGATCAGCCAAAGCTACAGCTGTATCCTTCGTCAGCTTTGTGAATTACCCTTTAAATATAAAAAAGTGGGTGTGATGTATTAAACTGAAGGAAACAAAAATGTGCATGTCTTCATTGTAGCGAGCAGTCAAGTATTTTCATATTAACACCTGCTCTACAAAAAATTACAGGGGGAATCAGATTGGCAACTGTTTTTATTCCTTTCCTGATGCAACTTTTATTGTACTTTAAAACACAAAGGTGACACAGAGTGAAGAAAATACATTTATTAGGATTATGATCATAATGCATGCAAATGTAAGTGTTGACATAAGATAAAAATCTCTTCTTAGAGAAAGGAAATATACTATTTACTAAGTTACATGCATAGTACAAAATTAAAAAATATAGTACATTTGGTTTTCTAATGTAAAATTTTACCTTAAAATATAAATATATTTGATATATATCCAAGAGGATGATATGTTACACAAAAGATAATATAATATAGGAAATTTAATAATTGACTTAAATATAGCTTAACATTTCCGTGCCACTAGTGCAACTTTTTTAAAGAACAATTTGGGAATTTTAAATAGAAAGTCATTAAAAATGTTTTTTATTGCACAAAATTATGTTTAGGCCTAACCTCTCTGATATTTTCTGTCATGTTGGATAAGAAAATTAAAAAAGACCTATATGTCAGATGTTTGTTGTGCAGTAGACCATAGTATCCAATGAGAAATCTTATTTCTTCTGTCAGAAGAAACTATTTAATGTACAGGAAGTTAGGGAATTGTGAGGTTTCCCTGGAGTAAAATAAACTCCCTTTGAAAAAAATGTTTCTATGACAAATGTTACAGGAGTATTGTACTCTTTCCATTAGAAAATATTGCTAGTTTTCTTGGGTTTCTGTATTTAATTTGGTGAGAGCTAGGCTGTCTTTTTGGTCACTGATGCTGCATGAACTAAATTGTTGAATAAATTTAGTGACATTCTGCAGGTTTCCCAATCCTGCTCTGTTATCATAGAACTATTGTGAAAGTGAACTCAAAGACAGTTCAGTACTAGAATACTCATTCAATGAAGAGCCACCTTGGAACCTGTGGCTCCAAAAAGGATGAAAATGTAAGGTTGCTGACCTCTGTGTGTTCTTCTGCTTAAAGTGATGAAATCCATTACTTCAAGCACATAATCACCCCATAACAAATTAACTAAATTGGAGTAAACATTTCTCTGCCCTGATCAATATTGACTAGTAATGCTTGGATGACAATGACCACAAATTTAAATTGTCCAAAGAGTTACACTTTTGAGGGTGTTCATGGCCAAATCTTAGAGGTCGGACCACCTGACTTTTGAGCCAAGTAGCTGACTGCTGATATTTGGCCTACTTAAATAATAGCAGTAAAAGTCAGAAGTAACTATCTTACATTTGTATATTTTCAGTTATGACAACAAGGTATAGATAGATACAAACATGACATTGTGAAACACATACATATTTCAGAGATGGTAACCCATGTTTTACATACAATTCCCCTTACTTCCCAATGGATGATTTTTTTTATTATTTGTAATCATAATTTTATCATGCTTTACTTTGTTGTAAATAAATCCTGATTTTCACATATTTCAGTATTAGTAGATCATATCCAATAATATCAAAGTTTGTGAAAGAAATACACATTTGTATTAGCCTGCACTCAACACAGCAGTTTTTATACCTTTTATATTGTAGCAGACCATTAAAAAATTATGATTTTCCTGGGTGTGTGGGAGAAAAGTCAAAGGAGACATCTGGAATGGAGAACATATTTTCAGGAAAGATGGAAGAGAACTTTGACTGAAGATTGTTATTTTTTAGAGGAGAAGATAGATCTACATCTATGTTCGCAGGAGGCACATCAACTTTTATATCCTCACCTGGTTCTTCTGTTTGCCCAGAAAAAGGTTTTTTCCATGTTGGTGCATTCACTTGTGCAGAAGGCAAATTTATATCAAGGGTGGCATCATTCTGATAACTCTGCATCTTTGGTGGTGACATTTTAAGGTCATTTCGCATTTGTGGAATGCCCGTATCAATAGTTGGGCCCTCTGTTTGACCTGGGAATGGTTTCTTCCACTTTGGCTCATTTACATGTGTAGATGGGCCATCTATATCTACATCTATATCATCTAATCCATCATGTGCCAGCTTTGGACCAGAAATATTGACATTTGGGGCTTTTATTTTTGGTGCTTTGACATTGGCAGAAGGTAATTCCATAGCGAAGTCAGGTGCACTTATTTGAGGTGAGGAAATCTTGAAACCCGGTGCTTTTACTTTACTGTCAGGTATGTCAATTCTAGGACCAGATATATTAGCAGAAGGTAATGATATATTTCCATCAATGTTTTCCATGGTTAATTTTGGAGCTTTTGCTTGAACACTTGGTACATTGATTGCACTTTCCAGCTCTGGAACTCGAACTTTCAAATCAGCATCAGGAGTTTTAAATTTTTGAGGTTTTACACTAATGCTCGGTAAATTTGCATTCACCTCTGGGCTTTGAACTTCTATGTTAGTCTTTGGCAATGATGCATCAGGTGCTTTAAGTTTAACATCAAAGTCCTCTGAACGAGATTTTCCAAAGGTTGGCATTTTAAATTTTGGCATAGTCATCTTTTTATCTGAAGCCTTAACACTGACATTTGGTGCACTAATATTCATATTTGGTAATGTGGCACTGCCTTGTACTGTTGGAAGAGAAGGGACATCCAGATTTGCAGACTCTAAACCTAAATCAACATCTGGCAAATTGCCTTTAGGGTGAAATATACGCAAGGTTGGAAATCTAAATTTGGATTCCTTGACTTCTACACTTGGTGCACCTATCTTTACATCTTTATTGCCAAGAGAACTTTGAGGGATTGTAATATTTGGATTTTTTATATTTCCTCCTGCATTTATATCAGGTTCATCGATATTGACGCCCGGAAGATTGAATGATGGCATTCTAAATTTGGGTTGATTTATTTTTTGCTCTGTTTCTTTCATGTTTATCTGTGGAGCATTTAAATCAACTTTTGGTAGATTTAAAGATCCATCTGCCTTTAAATCTGGAGTTTGGACATTAGGACCTGTCAATTGAAAAGATGGCATTTTAAATTTTGGTGCTTTTAATTGTATTTCTGGCCCTTTAACATCAGTGCTGGGTATATTTACATCTACTTCTGGAGCTTTAAATGATCTATTAACTTCCATATTAGGAGCATCAACCTTTGAACCAGGCATTTGAAAGGAAGGCATTTGAAATGATGGTATTTTAAATTTAGGAGAATTTACATTTAAGCTTGGGTCTTCAACATCAATTTGGGGAGCATTAACATCTACTTGAGGACCATTTATAGATGCATCAACATCAGGAATGTGAACCTTTGGAGAAGATGATTGAAAAGAGGGCATCTGAAATGAAGGCATTTTAAACTTGGGTGCATTTATCTTTGCATCTGGAGCAGGAATATCAAATTTAGGACCATCAACATTAACTTTTGGGGCATTTAAAGAACCACCCACTTCCAACTCATTTTTTTCAACATTAATTTTTGGTGTTTTTATCTGAGCTTCGGGAACATTAACTTTGACTTTGGGTGCATTTAAATCAAGGTGTGCAGATTTTAGAGACCCATCAACATCTATGTCTGGAGTCACAACCTTTGGATTAGACATAGAGAAAGATGGGAGCTGGGATGAGGGCATTTTAACTTTTGGGACATTTACATTTGTGTCTGCACCTTTAACATTAATTTGGGGTGCATTTATATCTACTTCTGGAGTTTTTGCAGATGCATTAATATCTGGAGTTTGGACCTGGGGAGCTGACATTTGGAAAGAAGACATCTGAATTGATGGCAGTTTTAATTTGGGGGCATTTAAATTTGTGTCTGGACCTTTAACATTAATTTGAGGTACGTTCACTTCTAATTCTGGACTTTTTGCAGATGCATCAATATCCAGGTTAGGCGTTTTTACATTTGAGCCTTTCATCTGAAATGAAGGGAAATTAAATGATGGTTTTTTAAACTTTGGAGCACTTACATCTGTTTCAGGACCTTTTATGTTTATTTGAGGTGCATTGAGATCTACTTTTGGAGTAGACAAAGAAGCCTCACCATTTACATCAGGAGCCTGAGTGTTTGGCCCTGACATCTGGAAAGAGGGCGTTTTCATTTTCGGTGTATTTATGTTGAAAGAAGGCATTTTAAATTTGGGACCCTTTACATCTGCTTCTGGAAGTTGAATGTTGGCCTCTGGACTTGAAATTTCCCCCTTTAGTGTTGGACCTGACACATTCATGCTAGGTGCATTTAAATCCAGTTTGGGTCCCTTTAAATCTAGTGTTCCAGTTTTAACTTGTGGAGATTTTAGATTTAGCGTAGCATCTGGAAATTTTTTGCTTCCAAACAAGTTAAATGAAGGCATTTTAAATTTTGTCTTTATCTCTGTTTTTGGAACATCAAGGTTCACATCTTGAGATTTGAGTGTTGGCATTTTTATTCCACCTTTAGGCAGATCAACACTGACTTCTGGGCCACTCAGTTTTGGGATATGTATGTCAGCTTTTGGAATGTCAACACTGACATCTGGACCATTTAGTTTTGGAATATGTATGTCAGGTTTTCGGAGGTTAACATTGACTTCTGGATCTTTGAGTTTGGAAGCCTTTAAATCTAATTTAGGTAGATCAAGATCAACATCTGGTCCTTTCAGTTTGGGAGCTTTTATATCTGCCTTTGGAATATTAACATTAACCTCTGGGCCTTTTAGTTTTGGAATATCAAGATTTAAATCTGGAATTAGCATTTTAGGATGTTTTATATCTGCTGTAGGTAGGTCAACATTAATTTCTGGACTCTTTAACTTTGTCTTGTTTATGCCTACCTTGGGAAGGTTTATATTTGCTTCTGGAGTTTTCAGTTTTGGAATGTTGATGTCTGCTTCTGGAAAGTCAATATTTGGACCTTTGATCTTTGGCATTTGAAGAGCAGGTTTAGCAAGATCAATATCCACATTTGGACCTTTAACCTTTGGAATTTTTAAGTCAGCTTGAGGAAGGTCAACAGTCACATCTGGACCCCTAAGTTTTGGCATTTGTATGTTACTCTTGGGAAAACCAATATTTACATCTGGAACTTTAATGTCAGCGAAATTATTATTTGTGCCTTTAGGAACATGGATATCAGTTTTAGGAAGATCAATATTTCCATTAACACCTCTCAGTTTTGGAATTTGTATATCAGCATTTGGTACGTTAACATTTAACTCTGGACTTTTCAACTTTGGCAAGTTTATATCAGTTGTAGGAAGAACTTTCACACCAAGAACTTTAGAGCCTTTTACTCCAATGTTAGGTAAATCAAAATCTATTTCTGGTCCTTTCAGTTGTGGGCTGTTTACACCTAAGTCAGGAAGAGCCACATTATCATCTGGACCTCTTATCACTTTAATGCCTCCTTTAGGACGATTAATATTTACTTCTGGACCTTTCAGTTCTGGAACTTGTATATCAGGCAATTTAGCACCCTTTACACCGATTTTTGGAAGATCAACATTCAATTCTGGTCTCTTTAATTTGGGACTCTCTAGGTCAGGTTTGAGTGAGCCTATATTCACCTCAGGCATTCTGACATTTGGATACTGTAAATTAGCCTTAGGTAAATCAACATATACTTCTGGACCTTTCAGTTTTGGACCTGTAATGTCTCCTTTTGTGAGTTCAACATTAACCTCTGAACCTTTGAACTTTGGAGCTTGTATGTCTGCTTTTGGGAGAGCCTTATTAACATCAGGAACCTGAACATGTGGCATATTAGCTTCAGGTTCTGGAGCCTTTTGAACAGATTTTTTAGAATTAAAAAGGTTAAGTGATGGTACTTTAAACTTTTGCCCTTTAACATTTGGTTCAGCTACATCTACCTCAGGAGTTTTCACTTTGCCTGACACAGTTGATGTTGTTAGTTCCACATCTGGAGCCGTTATTTTCCCATCTATTTCTGCTTTAGGAAACTTCCTGCTGGGGACATTTACATCAACATCAAAATTCTGTTTATGTGAAATGTTTACTGAAGGTGTTTTGAAACCTGTATCTAAATCTGGGACATGTATTTGTTCTCCTGAAGCATTAAAAGATGGCAACTGAAATTGTGATCCAGGTTCTTTACTCCGGGAATCTTTTATACTGAGGTGTGGTGCATTGATTTCGCCATGTACTTGAGGAGTGGGAAATTCTGAAGATGGAATCTCAGACAAATCAGTTGATAAACTATATGTATTCCGTGTGTAACTTGGTGTTTTGGATTTCAACTGTCCACCACCTGTGTCTGTCTTGGACAAATCTTGCATAGAAAGTGAACCTTTAAGATATCGACGAATCTTAGAGTTGAAAAGATCATCATATGCTGAAGGTTTAACTGCCTATAAAAAAAGGTAAAATAAAAGTAAGTGTCCAGTTATTCAGAACAATTTTATACTACTAAAAAAAGTGGATGACCTTACCACATTGTCTGTTCTTAGAGTGTATGGGCTAAATTGAGAGAGTGTGGATTCACTTTTTGTATGCAGTTGTAGACCAGCTTTGTAAGGCTCTGCAGCTTTCAGAATATTAAGCACTTCTGCCTTCTGTAGATTATCAAAAAAAATTGTTGCTCCAAGAAGCTCATCACCTAGAAAAAAGGAAACATTTACATATTAGCAACAAAAAAAAACTACATGCCTCTGAGATATCATAGAGGTGTAGAGCTAGAGAGAGCTTTAAAATTCAGTAAAATATTTTTTTTTAATCAAATTCAATAAAAATGAAATTAAAATAAAATTCAATAGCATCCTGCAAGCCAGTTTAAACAGTTTAATTTTGTTATTAGGTGATGCACATTAGTTTATGGGCACATTTTATCTGGCTGTGGTCAGACACTTAAAC